AGTCAACGCCTTGGTCAGGACCCTCGGCCTGGACGATGATCCCTTCTCAGAATAAAGGATACTCCCAAAACTCTTTTCTTTCTAAAACTTCTTCTTCTGACTTTTCAAGTCTAAATCTTTCAAACATACTTATTCTAAAATTCTTAAATGTAAGGTATGGCATAAGAATGAAATAAACATTCAAAATTATTTCTAAATATTCTTTCTTTTTCATGAATTTTCGACATGAAAATGGCATATAAGAATAACACAAAAATCTGAAAATTTATGCACATATATCAAAATAAATCATCTAACTTTAACTAAAATAATTCTAAGCTAATAGGAACTCACTCACTTCAATTAAGTACATATTTACTTTTTTAGCCAATTCATCAAACACCTTGTATGCATACTTTTGTGAATTAAACCACTTTGGTAAAGGGTTATATCAACTCACCTCAAAACTTTTCGAGCCAATACGTAGGCCTCAGTCCAATTGACACCAGTCAAACAATTAATTATACAATAACCAATGCATTTTAATCAATTTTAAAGTTTCACACCTAAACATGAAATCTATTGTTGATATAGAGAAAGAAGGAAATTAACTATTCAACTCTTACCTATTACTACTATAGGGTAATTGAGAATAGGGAATTTTATATACCTGAGTAAAAAAAATAAGTGAGTTATGAAGAACTCTAGAATTTTTGTTGTCGTGCGTGAATAGTTGCTGCCTTTGTTTCTCGAGCCAGCAGAATGTTAATTCTATTTGCTTCTGGTAAGGTATTCACGCCTCTGTGAGGCTATTATGTTTGGTCCAACAGCCCTTTATGGGCTTACTTGGCACGTGTTCCCCCTTTTCTTTTTTTTTCTTTTTTTTTTGATAACTTAAGTAGTATTTAATTATACATACTTTTAGTAATTACTANATATATGCACACACACTTAAATAATTGGTTATACAATTAGAGAAACATTAATTATTATTATTATTATTAATAATAATAATAATAATAATAATTTAATTCTATTATTAGCGTGTCTCGAAACTTTTATAAATTTGTGGAGTGTTACATGTCCACCCGGTATTCCATGTATCTGTGTTGAGGAAATGTATTGGAGACCCTTCTCGGGTCGTCCCTATCAAAGATGTACAAGTTACGAAGTATCTATCATATGAAGAAGTGCCAGTGGCTATATTAGATCGACAAGTGCGCAAGCTGAGAACAAAGGATTTAGCTTCCGTCAAAGTATTATGGAGGAACAAGAATATGGAAGAAATGACATGGAAAGAAGACGAGGAGATGAAGTATAAATACCCTTACCTATTCTAGATTAAAGATAATGAGGATGTCGGGGGAACGCAGGACGCAATGGAAGCTGAAACAGTTCTATGAGGTAAACAATAGCTTGAAAGTACTCTTAGTTAATGTACATATCCATAATGTTTTGTATAGCCTTGTGAGGCCGTAGGATTGGTTTAGTTGCTTGCAAGTTTGGCTAGTGTTCATTTTATAGGGGAAACCCGGCCGAAAATTTCCGTTGGAATCAACGATGAGTTAGACTCCCCATAAACCCTTCCATTCGAGGATGAATTTTCCTAAGGGGGAGGGTGTTACAACCCATATTCGCATACATTAGATCACGCCGTAAGTTATTCGACGTAAATCTGAGAAGAGATTATCTCTGAGATGATGAGAAGTTAATCTTATTGTCTTAAATGATACAAGGGTGTATAAGAGTGGTTAACAAGTATTAGAAGTTAAACAAATCAAGGATGTTGTAACCCATATTTTTGGGTAAAACTAGAGGTGCTTAATATATGTAGGATTCCTTGTTTTAAGGTATTTGAATCATATAATATTTGTATCATAAGTCTTGAAGTCAAATGAGTTATGAAACAAAAGTTGTCGCAACTTACGTCCATAATTTCACTTAAACTTTAAGTAAAATTTTACTAGGATTTTCTCTCAATTTACTTGGAATTACGGGGTGATCTACCCATCTAATTGAAGATCTAAGATTCTAGTTTCCAATGCATTAAACCGTTTATCGATAAGATGTAGCAGTAGAGAGATATTCGCATTTTTTCAAGACTGTGCAAAGCTTTCTATGGGACCCACATAGGAGGTTGAGATATATTGATATATATGAGATGCCTTAAGCCCGTTTTAACTCATTATTTTTCACTATTTTCAGACCCTAAACACATAAAAACTCTCTCTCAAAGTTCTCTCGTGATCCAAGACCCAAACAAAGGGTAAACAACACAAATCAAGTGTCGGGAATCCTGTGGCGCTAGTAAGTTTCTTGTTCTTGTTGTTATTGCTGATTTTTGTGTGGTTCTAGCTCATGTGGGAGGTTGTTTTAAGTGGTTTAAGTTCTGTAAAATACTCTCTCAAGTTTTTAATACCAACCCTAGGTGATTTTAAAGTCTTCCAAAGTGATTCTAGTGCCGAAAAAACCGAATTGATTGCTAGTTTCGCTTCCTTGCTCTTGTGGCAACACTGGAAGGATATTTCGTGTTGAAGTAAGGTCAAACTGAAGTTGTTCTATCTGTTTAAAGGTAAGGAACCTCTTACTCTACATGTATTTAAGGTTATCCAAGTTGCTGCTAAGTCGTTGAAGCTAGAACTTGTGAGATATCTATCGAAAAGCTTGTTAGTAATGTTGTTGGTTGGTGGACTATTTTAGGAGGCTTAACATGATTATTATTGATATTGATTGGGCTATTTGGTGATTGTTTTAACTTGTGGGAAGTCATATAAATAGGAGAGGTATTGTCCGTTTCATCGTAAAATAGGTTGTAGTGGATATATAATAGTTACGACGCTTACACGATAACGATAGTATCATTTCTCTTATTGTAGACTAGGGAGTCGTGACATTTGCATAGCTTGATATTGGGAAGTATATACAAGGTATGTGAGGCTATCCCTTTCCTTCTTTTTCACGACTCTGATTCTACATAATGTAATGAATGAGCTTCCAAAGATACTCCACTCTTAGAAGCTAGTAGTACTTACATTGTTTCCCTTCTTATGGAATGATTGATGTTGATGTTACTTCTCTTATTCTTACCGTATCAATATTGTTGGTACTTCTTGATTCTTATAAGATCCACGACGAAGAGTTAGTCCTAATAATGTGTACTAAGGTTACCGACCTTACATCACTCCGAAAGATTCAGAATGTGATTCCAATGAGTCCAGAATGCATTATATATATGTACCTATTTTACACTACGGAACCACGCTATAGTCGACGGGGTATGGCACCTATTGTGCAACCACTGATCAGTTGGGTTTTACCAAGCTCCACGCCGCCGAGTACGATTCTACCTAGCCTTATGATGGCCGGATACATTTTTAACGNATATATATATATAAGTCACCCTCAGAGGCATTCATATGTTACTGGTTGGATATTCCCTATCCCTACTTACATTACTGTTCTTATTTATGCTTTCCTGCCTTACATACTCGATACTTTATTCGTACTGACGTCCCTTTTATTTCTGGACGTTGCATGTCGGGCTGCATGTCCTGATAGACAGGTAGACGCAGCTCCCCTACCACAGTAGGCTGCGCAGTTCAGCGGTTGGCGAGATCCCTTCTCCAGACTTGCCGTGGTCTTGATATGCACTTTTGTTATAGACATTATGGGTATGTCAGGGCTCTGTTCCGGTAATATTACAGCACTTATATTCCTTTATAGGCTCATAGATAGGTGTTGACTCATGTATAGTTTGGATTGCCTTGTCGGCTGATTTTTGTTGTATAGACTCTCATGGCAGCTTGTCAGCTCGTACCTTATATATAGCTTCATGACAGCCTTGTCGGTCCACTTTATGTATGTTCATGCCATTATCCGTCATTGTTGGTTGTTCATGATTCATGTCTACCATTTATGTTGATCTCATCGGCCCTTATAGATAATAACATGGTTAGATAAAATGTACGTTGGTGCTCGGCAGGTATGGCCCGGATGCCAATCATGGGCCTCTAGTTTGGGTCGTGACACTATTAATTACATAACTAAGTACTAAAGAAAAAATAAAAATAGGTTATGCATTTTTATCTAAAACATTGCAAAACTAAAAAAAAATAGATGTCTAATACATTGTCATTCCTAGTCTTGAATTGAATGTCTTTTGTTAGCATTAGTATTGATTGATTTTGGTTTGAACTTCTGTTAGCATTATTTGAGTTACTAACATTTATGGGCTATAAAATTTATTGGAGCATTCAAAAGTTTTAAGTTCAACCTTGAAATAATAGGTTAAAAAATAAAACTATGGAAAAGATAAGAAATATTTATAAATTACATTACATTAACTATTCTTATGTATTAAATATATTTGAAATTTCTATACATTTAATATCGGATTGGTTTGGTTTCAGTTTGACTTTTTTTAATTAAAACCAAATCAAACCAACTATGGTCAGATTTTTTTTTTCACACCAAACCAAATCAAACTGAATCATAGTCAGATTTTTTTTTTCTCGGTTTGACTGGATTATTGATTTGGTGCGATTTATCGGTTTGCTTTGTACACCCCTAGCTATGTTCTCTGATGAACAAGTTTTGACTGCTAGAAGGTGAATTTCCCTTGTGGTAATCAATTTTATTTTTAGTTGATAGTATGTGCTCTTGGCTCGCACGCAACTTGAGGTCTTGGGTTTTATATATCGTTAATTGCTAGTTGGTTCCATATCTTGGATATAAGCTCCTTATTTGCCTTTTTGTTCTTGTTATTTCATCTTTATTGTGGTAATATCAAACTCTCTATAACTACTTTTGTATTTCCTATATTTCACTCTTAATCTAATCTTGAGGTGTTTGTTTCCGCATTAGTAAAGGAAGCCGTCCGGACTTCGACAGTGAGGTTCCTGCATCCTCTGCCTTTTGTTTTTATATAAAAACAAAAGGAGAAGAAGAGAAATATTAAGATGATGCTGTGTTGCATGATAACCTAATGTCTGGAATTACAGTAACTCAAAATTAAACGGATATATTATAATTGTTCTTTCATTGCTATTACAATCTGAAGATAAAAGTCAAAAGACAATTTTGTTAGAAGTCAAATAAATACTCTTTTGACAGGGAATAGAGAGATTTGCAGAGGTAAAAGAACATTTACACAAAAGCTCTTACAAGTACAAATAATTGTAAAAGAGAGATCGATCAAAGCAAAACTAACCTTACACCCAAAAGAATCATCATCCTTAAGCAATCAATTTTTAACCCTCAAAAACAATTCCTTGCTGTTGCTCTATGTCATGCTGGGTTTCATTCTTCAGATTTCCACTAGTAAATTTTAGGCTACTTTCTAGACATCTTAGGCAATATCCTTGTATTCTCCTTCCAGGTCTTTGATATTTCTTGTTCTCTTTAGCACTAACTTTTCCCCAATCTAATGGACCAGTACTGGTTACTTCGTTTGCTTTCTCTTTGTCTAATCTGAATTCCCAAGTGATATGTTTAAAACTACACAAGCTCCACCAGTTAGTCCCTTCCACTTATTTGAGTCAGCAGTTGTAATTGGTCAAACACTTTCATGAACTCCAATCAAAGAATGCTTAAGCAACAGTCACCAGCATCTTTTTTCAGCTTCGGAGGCATGTGCCAAATGGCTTCTGCTTCACAATCACCTTTCCATGTACCCTTTTAGCTTTCTTCTTTATTATCATAATCATCTGCTTGGAAGTGTCTATTTTTTTCTTCAACTATTTCTAGTGACTCCTCTTGCCATCAATTCTTGTTGACTTGCAAAACCAAGGAGAATGCTATTATTCCTTTCCCCAACTTTATCTCCCTCAACTGTAGAATTTAGCAAGTATAATAGCTAACAGCAGCAAATACTTCAATTAAAACCGAATTAATCAATAGACACCCTAGTCAACCACCATAACTTGGTTGAAACAGTGATGTAATCTACTCTTGCCATTTTTTACAATAGGACTATAAGTTTGGTTTCTGTCATGCTTCGGATTTTGAATAAAAGTCGTTAAATTCAAGAAATTCTCAAAATTCTTGTCAAGTTCATGTTTGTTTTACCACAAAATGGAATTTTTTCTTTTACTTGATCCAACCCCAGAAGATGCTTTTCTTTCCTTCTTTATTTCATGTATGAAGAAACTGTTGGAATTGTATCTGAATTTCGATAGTTACCTTCTCAGTGGTCCCTTAATTTCTGAATATTCGCAAATCATTAGCATTGTTTCTTTCTTTGTCCATTAGAGTTCAACTTTGGGTAGCTGCAGTTCTTCAAATCTTCCAACGACGAAGTCCACATTGAGACGGATAATCTTTTCACCATTTCAACAAGCAAAATAGCCAAATAAGTCTTTTCCTAGCAATTGTGTCAGACCTTTTTATACTTTACATCTGCATCGTTGTAATGGAATACCCTGTCATTATGGTGCTTTTTCCAAGGTTGTTTTTCATTTGACAGTAGCACGTGAACATTTTCTTTGCTGGCTTACATCTTTTTAACTTTCCCAAATATATAAATCCTAAATAACCTGTCAATTCCATTGTTCTGCCATGCTCTTCTTCAGTCATCAAAGTGATCACAAAAGTGCCAAATATTTTGTCTCGTCCACCACTCCCTTTTCTTGTCCACCTAGTGCCTTCTTATCCATTAGCTTTGTCTAGCAGCTTGACAAACACAGCATCTTTTCCTTGAGGAGATAAATTCCAACAACACAATATCCTCCCTTCTCAATTGAATGTGAATCTAGCTTGCATCTGCCGTCACAGAACGTCATATCAGGCACAGAAAAAAAAAACATTTAGTTGCAGGACTGACTCTTCAAATTTTTCTTTTCTTTTTTATTCAAATCATCCGGTGTTCAGAACTCACTAACCCGACTTATCCTGATTCACACTGCTGAAAGCTCACTATGGGGAGTTTTTAGCATCCCTACCGAAGTGGACTCCATTCCCAGGGCACGAACCAAGGAAAGTCACTGGTTAAGAGTGAAGGAATCTTAATATTCCACCACACCCTTCGATGGCCTCTTCAATCTTTTCTGGATTACAGCATTGTATGTTCAACGCCATGTGCTTTAGAGCTGAACTTGATAGTGGCATGCATTGTCCCCATGTAGGAATGCACCTCGAAGTATAAATATACCACAATGTTTAAAGAAATGGAATGTTACCTTACCACATCATGTGTGCTCTGATGGAAGGATCCCACAACAACATGCACTACCGCAAAAGCATTGAGAGCCTGTTAGGTTAAGCGTAGTATCCCCATAACTGAAACTGAGCTCTTCATTCTTCAAAATATCCCTGGAAGAGAAAAAGCAAACTCGGGGTAGCAGTGCTCCCGAACTTCGAACTATCATTGTACAAAGGTTACCACCATCGCAGGAATGGTTAATGAAACGTGCAATATTGCCAATTCTGGTAGCATCAATGTTGAATCTCATGCACACGTTTCCAGATGGAAGGTGCTCCCTCACAACCAGCAGTGCAGGCGAAAAGCGGCTACTCTTTGAAATTTTGTCATACAGTTTCTGGCGATTTCTTGCTTCCTCGGTGGTCAAAAGTTCTCCTGCAAAAAGAAAAAGAAAATCAGGCCCAAAAAGGACCTTGCACATGATAAGACATTAAACTGAATTTTATAGGTCTTCAGATGTCAAAAAGCTTTTGAAATTATCATTCATAGATAAACTGAATTTATCAAAATTTATCCTAGTAGTATGCACAAAAAGAAAACTACTAAACCCTATTGTCCTTTCATTACTTCACCTGAAAACTTTGAACTGCCTCCCTAATTCAAGTTGTTTAACCATCTAATCTTTTCACAAAACCAAAAGCATGAGCCTTATCTGCTGATTTCAACCTCCAACTCTTAGGGTCAGAAAGCCTTTCAAAAGAAAGTTCTAGGCTTATACACACGTCTGTGCTTTTGTGTATAAGCAAGCAACGGACGGAGATAAAATCTTCCAGAGTTCACACTTCAACATGTCGTCTTTCCACCACAAGTACAACCATTACCCTCATTTAAATTAAAAACAAAAAAAAGATCCTACCAAAGATTCAAAATTTCTCCATAAATCACAACCACAGACGGGAAAATCAATTGCCTTCGACCACATCAAACATTGGATGGTATTCACTACAAACCCAAATTCAGTTTCCTCACTTCTGCACCTTAAGTAGCATATGACCAGAACCGTGAGAATATTTAGTTTTCTTGGTGTCACCTTTTTGACTTAACTCCCCTATTTCTTTATATCACAACATCTTGTTTATTGGCCCGATGTTTTTCACTGCTCAATATATGTCACATCAATTATGCATCAATTCTAAATAGTCAGAGTTGACTATATGAATCCTTTGTGTTCATTCCACTCATTTCAGCCCAGTTTATTCCAATACCGATAAATTATTTCTTCTTCTTCTCTCTCTATTTTGTTTTAAGAATTTTTTTGTGAGTTGGATTTCTTTAAAACTAAAGATTCTCTAAATCTCACACTTATCCCTACACTGTGATACAAGTCTTTTAAGGAGAAAACTCCTAGCAAACAACAAAACTAGCATAAGTGTGATAACAACTGGTCCCTGTATAGAGCCTTTGTTATTATTATATTAAGAAACCAATGGTTTCATCAATATAGCTATTAATTAACAAACTCTTTCAATGATGCTCCATACTGATCAGTATGTAAGTTCGCCTGAGATAAGAATCAATCTGAAACCTTGGGTTGGTTAAACTTTGTACCCTGGGAACATCAGCCTTGAAAAAGTTTAACAGATTGCCCCACCAACTGAGCATTGCATGACAATCTTTATCGATTTGTCAATGTTCCCATCCACATAATAAAGCAACTGAAGAGGCATATTAGATGCAGTATCTTAAATCTAACTATCTAAGACCTTGTAATCCGCTTAATGGGAGTTCATGCGAGCATATTGTTCTGTGCCAACAGTCAATTATATCAGACTACAACTATAAACAAAAAAGGAAAACCGTTCCTCGATAATCCAAGGAAAAGCCTAACAAAGATCAGTTACCAACAAATAACAATTTATTTCAGAGTAATGAGCTATCAATTTACTCTCGGAATTCATTTAGCTATGGAGTACAAGTAAGGGTAGCTTACTCTAAAAATTCATTTAATACCTTAAAAAAAAACATATGTATATTAAACAACAACAACAATAATAGAAATAATAACAGAAATACCTGTGTACTCGCATATGAACTTCCCTTTTGGAGTGAAATCAGCAGCAACCAAACTCCACCCTTTTCTCCTATCCTTCACCACCTTCAGCTTCGCTGATACTCCTTTCTGAGTTAACCTGTTCCTGCACTCTGACCCGCAATGGCAACTCGGCCCGCATTCTCGGGTCGGCAACCCGGAAGAAAAATCCATGCACGGGCAATCCAAGTCGCAACTCTCACACCCGCACCCGTTAGAACCTTCCACCCGGATTACGAACGGGTGCTGCCTAACCCGACCTGAACCTCCAATTTCTCCTCCCCAGCATAGACCGGCGAAGGATGGGGAGGTGGGTAGGGTCTGAACAGAGGAGTAGATGAAGTAGGCGTAAAGTTCGGAGTCGACGGAGTTGAAGAAAGAAATGGGGTAAGTCTCCATGCCTCTAGAAGCGTCGGAGATTCTTCTGGAAGTAATAGCCTTGGAAACTACACGTAACGCCTTGCAGGTTGCTGAGACGGAGGCTAGACCTGCAGGTTCTAAGTATGGCAACACGAGATGGGCAAACCGGCAAAGTAATCCGCCCTCGTATTGTTCCCCTTCGCCGGTCCTTTGTTGTTTGTCCATCGCGTTGCACATTCCAGGCTTGGAGAGCTCTCAGTGGATCTGACTCGTTTTTCTATGCCCTTACACTCTCTTTGGATATATTGTAATTTATTGTTTTTTCATATACATAATGTTTGGACGTATATTTATTTTTGTTAAACAAAACTTTTATATTTATCATACTATAACTATAATCGATAAATTTACTAAAATACCTTCAAACGCTATAACACAAAAAAAGGTCAAACACATACATAGCCCTTTAAAGTTGGTTCTAATTTTCTTTTTTAACACTTTAACTAAGGCAAGTATCTATTGAACACTTCTAACAGTAACAAAAGTATGTCTATCGACATGCTCCGAACCTGGGAAGCGAGACCGGCACCCGGTACCTAACTTAACCTAGCGTACCAACTTACGACTGGGGACTCTAAACATACAATGTCATACTTTGGCCATAGGTCTACATTGCAAGACAATTTGTGAAACAAAATATAAAACTGAACGGAAACTAACTCTGACTAAATATCAATATAAAGCTGGGCCGACAAGGCAGTCATAACTACTACAACTGACAAACCAACAAAAATATACATACAAGTCCTACAAACCCAACATATTGCACTGACTGGCAGGATATGTCTACAAGCCTCTACTGATGGATGTACTGTGGTCGGAACAGGGCCCCGACCTATCCATAACATACATACATACATACATATATACTTACATACATACTCAAAACCCTAGACCCAACGACTCCGAAGGACGTGAAGCTTACCGGTCAAGCTGATCACGTACGGCGGCATTGGCTCATTTGACTATGAAATGGTATGGCATACATTATAAAGGTTTTATCGCAAAGATAATTTCATTTTTAGAAGTATAAGGCCGTTACATGAGCCAAAGTATAATGTTTTATGATTCTTGTATGAGTTTCAAGTGAGCCAAAAGAAATGTTTCTATGAGTTTAATAGAAAGATGGGCTTTCAAGGCTAATTTTAAAGATTATATTTAAGGGTCAAAAGTGAAATAATATTTTGAAATGATTTTTAGGAATATTCTTAAGTCACATAAGTATGTGTAGACATTGAAATTTTAATGGATCAAGCTAAATTTTAAACTCAAGATACTACAAGACCTCTTGAAATTCTAGGAGTTTGTCAGTGTTGCTTGGAGGCTACTTTACTCTAACCCTAGGTCACTCCTACATAAAGGGTTACATAATCCTTTAAAAAAGATATCTCAAAAATGGAGATTATCTCGAAAATCACATTAACTCATGGGATATTCACAAAGAGATCAAGATGCGGCCGTAAAGACATAATTTCATGGAGATCAAATACATCCCATGAAAGTTTGCATCATCCTACATTTGAGAAACACATTGTTCTAACCATCGAATCTGTGAGAGAATTAGGAGAGAAGAATCAAGAGAGAAACAGAATTGTATCCACAATTATCTATCAATTAAATTATGTTTCTTCATATTTATATTGTGGTTGCAATTTTTTTTTGTACCACAAATAATTTGTTGTAAACAAATTGTCACGCCCAGTGGGACTAATTCTACCCTTCATCTCTTCCTCCTGTAAATCAAAACTACAAGCTTCAAAATTTTCTGTTGTGATGATCGGGTATTTCAAGTCTTGTTTTCAAGTTTTGCCAAGCCTACACCCCAACAAACCTTGAAATAGGGGGCATTTGTAGACATCGAAATTTTAATGGATCAAGCTAAATCTTAAACTCAAGATACTACAAGACCTCGTGAAATTTTAGGAGTCTGTAAGTGTTGCTTGGAGGCTACTTTACCCTAACCCTAGATCACTTATATAAAAAGGGTTACATAATCCTTTAAAAAGATATCTCAAAAATGGAGATCATCTCGAAAATCCCATAAACTCATGGGATATTCACAAAGAGATCAAGATGCGGCCGTATAGACATAATTTCATGGGGATCAAATACATCCAATGAAGGTTTGCATCATCCTACATTCGAGAAACACGTTGTTCTAACCCTCGAATCATGGAGATAATCAGGAGAGAAGAATCAAGGGAGAAAGATAATTGTACCCACAATTATTTATCAATAAAATTATATTTCTTTATATTTATATTGTAGTTGCAATTTATTTTTGTACCATAAATAATTTATTGCAAACAGTATGTATGGGACCCAAAGAGTTAAGATTATGCATCCCAATATAGAGATTATACCTATGTTGTTAGCAACCCGCATGTCAAATTCATATGATTGGTAAGACAGCTCAATCGATCGAGTCAATATCCCAAGATTGGATTCATGAAAGATGCATGTGGCACTATAGTGACGGATCACCAATCGAGTCGATACCCCTGATTGGGTAACATATCCCCACATGGTGGTTTGTATAGCTTATAGGTTCTCCTTGGTAAAGAAATATTTTACATATGAAAAAGGGGTTAAGGTCACCTGTCCAATTTCGAGAAGTGCTTCAAAAGCTTTATGGTTTATGAGATGTTTTTCTTGAATGAAGTTGCATTAGTTATCACATGTTGATTTTTTTAAGTCATGTATAGGTACATTATGTCTGTGTAGGGATAAAATCGGGGATATAGTTATCCTCAATTTATCGCTGAAGAAACGAGGGACAGCGTGATTCGACGATGGCTCGGTTAAGGCCAAAGGTGCCCACAGATCGGAGCCAGGGTGGGACGAATGATACGTTGAGAATCGGGCATGGCCAAACATGGAAAGAATCAAGCTCGAGCGAAACAAATAATAGAGGTTAAAGGGAACAACTAAAGAGGACGAATGAGGAGCTGAAATATCTGCCATTAACAGGATATTACGGTGCGGATCATGCCCGATTTTAACTACGGATCGTGTTTTACTGGGAAAAAGGGTCAGAAAATGATTTTTACCTTATTTAGACTTGTACTAGGGTTGAAACTCCCCTACTATATAAAGAAGCAAACCTTTTCATTTTTTACCATTGTTGGTACGCATATCAAAGCAATAAAGCTTACTTTTATCTTTTAGCAATTGTTCAAGTGTTTTACAGCTATTATTTCATTCAATTGAAACCGAGCGCCCTCGAGAGGGCTTGATTGGAACCAGTTTCTAGCATTCGAACCTAACGCCAGGCTTAGTTATTTCATCACATTTGGTTTGATCATTTTGCTTTCTTTTAATTCGATTATTTGTTATTTCTTTGATTATTCATGTTAAATTAAATCATGTATCCTTTAAATCGCATGCAAATTTAATTGTTACTCATTTTAAGGGTAAACAGTTTGGCGCCCAGCGTAGGACTAAAGATAATAGTGGTAGTTTAATATGAATCTTTGTAACACACCCTACTTTACACTTGCTCTTTGAAGTTCAATTTCGGGATTATTCAAAATGTCAAATTCTCAATCTGCTCACTTGAATGTTGACGCCGAATCATGCCACTACGGTGAAAATAATAACGTGGTACTAAGTGATAATAGGTGAATTGAACTATAATTAGGCCCTAAAAAACCACCTTTTTGTATAGTTTTTATGGTAAAAAGTGATAACAAAATGCTCTGATTAGTGCTTTTCATGCTTTGCAGGCTATATACAATAAAAGCAGTCTATGGAGTACCTTTGGGATCAATTACAGAGAAAAAGAGGCCAATCTTACTATATCCGCTAAGTGCACCATGCGAAGGCAGCAAAACCAGAACTGGAGATGGACTGCCGCGGTCCTGGCGTAACCGCGGTCGGACCACGGTAGAAGGCTGTTGTGGATTCTGAGAGGCTAGTTGGTCGCGGTCCTGGCGTAACCACGGTAGGACCGCGATAGGAAGCGGAAAATTGAGGGACTGAAGTGCAAAACATGGGAGGGCCAGTCCATCCACAGTTCAACAATAGAAACATGGGAGGTATGAGACCCCCTAATAATATGGCACCTTACCCAAGGCCACGGGGATATAATAATCAGAATCAGCAGCAGGGGTATCACCCTCCTCAGCAGTAGCATGGTGGAAGGCAGGAAGATGGGTTTGCTAGACTTGAGGCAATGATGTAGCAGGTTATTGGGTCTAATGTAAAGATTAATGAAAGAGTGGATGCACATGATGCAGCAATCAAGAATATTGAAGTGCAGGTGGGCCAAATTTCTATGTCTTTGAACAATCGTCCTATGGGACACTACTTGCAGACACCCAGATAAATCCAAAAGATCAAGGCCCAAAGCAGCTGATGGTGGTAAGTCTACGTAATGGCAGAGATCTGGATGTAGAGCAAGAGAGGGCTCGAGAAACTAGATAAGATGAGACACTTATACCAGTGCCCATTGAGCTGGATGAGTCAACGAAACTGACGGAGGTACCAGTCCAGCCTGCCCAGGAAGAAAATAGCATTCAGAATGCGACCGAGAAAGAAGCTGAGACAGTCCAGGAACCAGTAGTTGATGTAGCAGCTGATAAGGATCAATCCCAGTTGATTGGGAAGAAGAGACCTCTTGCACCTTTCCCTCAGAGGCTGGCTAAGTACCAAAAGGAGGAACAATACAAGAAGTTCTTCGAAATGCTGAAACAAATCCAGGTAAACATACCATTGATTGAAGCTTTGAAGGAGATGCCTGGGTATGCAAAAATGATGAAGGACTTGATGTCTCGAAAGTTTGATTTCCAAGACTTGGCCACAGTTACTCTTACTCAAACATGTAATGCAGTGGTGACTAGACCAATTGCAGAAAAGCTGTCTGACCCAGGGAGCTTTACAATTCCATGCACTATTGGTAATTTTGCTTTTGTTAAAGCACTGTGTGATCTAGAGGCCAGCATCAATCTTATGCCCCTGGCGATTTACAAGAGGTTGGGCATTGGAAGAGCTAGACCCACCTCTATGTTGTTGCAGCTGGCTGACAGGACAGTGAAATGACCCTCTGGTATACTGGATGATGTGCTAATTCAGGTAGGGAAATTTGTGTTCCCTGCAAATTTTGTGATCTTAGACTGCAAAGTGGATGAAAAGATTCCCATAATTTTGGGAAGACCATTCTTGGCCACAGGGAGAGATCTCATTGATTGTGAAATCGGGGAGCTCAAGATGAGATTGAACAATGAGGAG